TTGCGCCTCCGGAGCTGCCGCTTTCTTCTGATGATGTCACAATCTCCACTGCCGCCTGGGGTTTTGCACACCACAATAGCTCCAAAGGCAATGGGAAACCCATGTCCACCAGCTGCATCAACTCTGACTGCGTCAACCTCTTAGCTCCAGTCGTTGAGTGACCATTCAGGACCACTCGCCTGCCCTTCCACTCTTCAGTGCCATGCCAGCACTTCGGTGAAAATCTGAAGCCCTTACCTCGAATCTCAACTAGCTTGCCCAACAAAGCATGATCCGGTCGAACCTGACGTAGCTCCTGACCCTGCGGATCTTCAATCCACAACCTTCCTCCGCTAGGCATCTCCTCCTTGGAAGACACACACACCAAGAAGTTGTCACTTCCTGGCATGTTGTAGCTGTCTTTGTGAGGTACAAATGTGACGTTGTCATTGATGATGATGCTTGTCCAAGTTCCGGTGGGAAAAATTTTACGTAGGAATGCGTTGATCAATCTGGTCAGACTCGGCCTAGCCCTGCACTGCTTGGACAAACCCTGGCAACCACCATGTGTCCATGCGCCCAAAAGCCAAGATTTGACTTGCGCTGATTTGTCCTGCACGCAACTACGGTACCTCACGACCGGCTTCAAGCTACTACTCCGAAGAAGCTGCATGATGTTGGCATGTGTCCATGCCTTCGGCCCCTTCTGTAACAGCGCTCCCGCTGCTTCTTCATCTCGGATCAATGCTTCATGCGTGCTGACTTGTGGCTCCTCCTGAGCCGTATCGGCGTGAACTGCAGCCACTGTGGTTGTCACCAGGTCCTTAGGCGTCTCCTGCGCAACCCCTTCACACGCTCCCGCCTCTACCGTGGACACCGTGGCGTCATACGGCACTCGATGCTGCTTCCACCACTTTGACAACAACGGACGCAAGCGCATGAAGGTACCCCTGTCGAGGTAAGGCAAACCACCGTGAATTTCCAATTGAACCCACTCACCTATGAAAGCAGAATCCTTCGGCAGCTGCAACCAAGCACCTTCGTCACTCCACTCGAACTTGCATCCAACAGCTGTCAGCCTACACACTCCCGCAATGACCTCGGGACCCGTTCCTGGAATGATCACTTCACCATCCCTGGTTCTCGAGGCCTCAATGGTCTGACTGTCGGCTAACAACAACTCCAGGGGCATGGATCTAGGTGGAGCCTTAGCAGCCTTTCGGAGGACTTCGTTTGCACCAGTATCCAAAAGAACATTAGACCCGTCACCCAGATTACCAACAGCACACACCTTTTGCGCTTGTGACCTATGTTCGAACTCAAGGATTCTTGCTCGCAGATGGAGGAGCCGTCGTCTGGCTGGCTCGGGGACTGTGGCGAACTCTTCTACATGGAGATACATCAAGTCATGCAGAATCTCTACTCCATACGTGTCAAAGATGATCCAACCCTCAGAGAAATCCACAAGGCTTAGCAGTTGCTGCAAGGGCATGCGCAACACATGTGTGATGTCGGCGGCAGCTGCTTCAACCAATGTGTCATGATGGCCGTGCGCTGTATGCTCAAACTGAGGGGCTCCAGCAGATGGAGCTGATGCTACGCTAGGTCCTGTGGTCCTGACGCGTGGAGGCTGAGGGGCCTCAACGATAGCCAAGAAAAGCTCATTATGATCATCTTCATCAACGAGCCAGGCCACAAAACCCTTTCTGGCAACATCATCATCACACATCAGCAAAACATCATAAGCAACTGCGATACTCTGCGCTTCCCCAATGAGCAGATCTCGAACCGGCATTCGTTCCGCTCGCTCCAAAGCCCACGCAACTCCTACTGCAACATCCCTACCCTCCGTGACTTGCACAAAAGGCCTAGAGCTCATGATGACTTCACCGCGCTCCCAATGCTGAGCCCATGTGTTGAACTCCCTCGGATTCAAGTGCAAACGCCAAAGCTGATCCCGCTCTTCTCGGTACAATCTTGCGGCCCGCATAGCATCCGCAAGCTCGTCAACTAGATCATGCTCACTTGACAAAAGACTCTGAGTGCTATCAGTCGAAGCAACCGTCCCGGCATTTGACAGTGCCTCCAAGTCTAAGCTATCCTCATCGCTAGAAGAAGAACTGAAGTCACTCACCGGATTGCTTTGTGCCATCATGATCATGGAAGTCACTGCTGATGCTTTGGCCTTGGCCTTTGGTTTAGCCTTGGGTTTACCCTTTTGTCCTTCATCATCATTTGCTCCAACCAATGCTGTGGCATTAGGTGCTGCTGCAGCCTTGGGCTTAGGCTTATGTTTCTCGTCATGGGAGAAAGGACAGTTCTTCCGATAGCATCCGGCTTCACCCCAAAACCACTTGCAAGGCTTGTCCTTCCTCGCATCGATGTTTGGCTCCTTGGGTTGCGATTCTCCTGCTCCTTTGCCCTGATTTGCGCTGCTCTTTCCTTTCTCCTTTCCCTTGCCTCCTTTGTCCTTGCCTTTGCCTCCTTTGTCCTTTCCTTTGCCCTTGGATATCACCGAAGACTGTTGCTCATTCTTGTTTGCCTTCAGCTGTTCGTCGGCTGCAAGCTGACGCAATTCCTTATCCAAAGTTTCGAGGATCATCTGAACTCCTAGTTCCGTGGGACGCTGGATGTCCGGAGACAGCTTGATGAGACTCATCCTGGTACGTAGTGAATCGCTTCGCTTCTCAATGTGCTTTACTAGCGTACATAGAGCTCTCATCGCTTCAGACGGGGCTGTGTTGGGAAGATTCAGAGCTGCTGCGCGCAATCTGGCTAGCTTCCACCTACGGATACTCTCTAAAGCATCTCTAGCTGATTGTGCTGGGTCAAGGTTGCGCATGTATCGCAACAAACTTGCAACTTCTTCTTGGCCTCCAGGTTGAACTTGATGTACCAACTCCTCTAACAATGACAGCGATGTAATCTTGTTCTCTGCGTCTTCAACTGCACTGTCTTTGACCTCTGCTGGAAGAATCCGCATCAAGCTAACCACCAATCGAGCCTCATATGTCTCAAAGCATGCTTCAAGCTTTGGGGCCTCAGCAATAGGAGCTCCTGACATCCGGCTCTCATGTCTCTGGTGTGCCAAGTGAAATCGATCCTCAACGAAGGTTGCAAACTCCGGTGCAACCGTCGTGCAAACCGCCAAGATTTGTCGTTTCCATGTTGTGAAACCCAATCCCAGCTCCCAGGGTTCCCCTGGTTCTTGATGATACTTTGGAAGATCCGTCAAACATTTCCACTTTCCGTTCGGAATCTCGGGTGCCGACTTCCGATTTCCAGGCCTTGCGCCAGGACTCGGTGACCTTCCTGGGGATGTTCTCCTCCTGGATCCGAGACCAGGTGGAGGAGCAGTGAGACCCCACGGATTGAGAGGATCAACCTCTGTTCTTCCACGTTCCCACGTGCTCCAAAGCTCTGGCTCGTCTCCGGTCTGATCCCACCAAGTGGAAGAGGCATCTTGAACCCCAAAGCTAGGTGCTTGATCAGCGTTGGGCGTCAGCTCAAAATGCACCGGCTCGCGATTGTTCTGTGCAGGCATCGGATGCAATTGAGATGACTGTGTATCCCGATGAAAGTCCTTCGAAGTTGTACCCTCTAGCTGAACTTCCTCCAACTTGTCAGGGCCTTCCTCGATAGCGCTCACTCTCTCATCGAGCCTGTCTATTTCGGTCTGGACCTTGGGTAACACATCAGCTCGAAATTGCTCCAAACTGTTGTGTAGGCCCTCACCTTGTTCACGCTGCTGCGTAGTCAACACAGCAAGCTCCCGATCGACCTTTTCAGCCAAGACTTGCACCGCTCGTGCCAGTGAAGCTTGATCCCCGGGTTCACCCTTCAAGGGTGCATAAATCTCACGCTCTTGGGCATCCAATCTGCGCTTATGCTCTTGCATGCTCATCAGAGTGTATTTCACAGACTCATCCAGCTCAGCAACTCTACCAGATAGGGCTTCTACCTTCGCCAGTAAGCTCGCCTCTCTCTGCAAGGATTCGTCTAGCTTGTTCTTGACCTGCTGCTCCTCTGCACCTCGTTCTTCTAGGTAGCTCCTAAGGTCATGTTTGATCGCCTCAATCTGTGTGCGCGCATCACGACGATCACTCTCCCGGCCTTCCACCAGGGATTGCACTGCAGCTTGTTGTCTAACCACCGCGTCCCGAAGCTGATCCAGGCTAGCAGTTAGCACTTGACAGCCTGCTTGCAACTCTCCAACTGATCCCCCAATAGCTCCCACTGCCCCTGCGAGAACTTCAGTACGGTACTGGATGCGAGAAGAAAGCTCTGTGACCGCAGCCTGGATGTCAGCCGCAAAACTCAAATCCTCACCAATACTCGTTCCAAAGGCTCGCAGCGTTTCAGCAGGTATGCTAATGCGAGTCATCTGTTGAAGCGTCACCTGCCCTCCAAGCTGCTGCTGTTCTGCCGCTGCTTGCAAAGTGGCTGGTGCAGATGCTGTTGTTGATGATGCAGTGTCATGCGTAGTTTCGAGGGGGTTTGGACTCATAACCTGTTGATTTCTGGTGTTTGGTTCAGGGGAAGGGCTGTTCGTAACAATAGAATAGTGACTAGGAGTAGGACTTGCATGATGCCTTCTAATCTGCATAGGTAAGTCATCTAGATGATCATACTTCTCCATAGTACATCGAGTAGCATGCAAGATAGCAAGGCACTACAAGGACCCTCAAACAAGCAACCCAAACCCCAATGCCCCAAGGTGCTTTTCGCACCCACCTCGCTGCGCCCTTCATAGGGCTCGTGCTTGAGCCATTCGGATTTGTGCGTGTCATCCTTAGCAGGGGTCATGCGCCTGCCAGACAAGATGCGGTACACTTCTCGATTTGTGCACCTGCGGTACACTTCTCGATTTGTGCACCTGCCAAAAGTAGGGACTAAACCCTACAGCAACACACACGAAGCAGAGCTGAAGATGTCTTGAGTCTTCTCCCTCACCGCAGCTCGGTCGTGACTTCTGAGGTCCTGTTGAAAAGCTTGCGGAAGTGGGCGCTATGCAGTCTGCATCAGGCCTTCTGCATTTCGGCCTTGTCGGTAACATCCTCGGAAATCTTGTGCACTCTGCGAATGCACGCATGGCAGAGTGCATAAAACTTGTCCGGCTTTGAAATCGTAAAACTTGGCGACTTTCTGGCTGAGGGTAGCCGTGTGGCGTGCTTAACTTCGCCCACCAGCTTCTGGCACCTCCGGCACTTCTTGCGCCAGCCCTGGGCCAAGCAGATGATAACCGCAACCTGGCAGTCTGCTGTTCCAGTTTATAGTTCATAAGCTTCAGGGTTTTGGTCCTCCCGACAGACGGTGCCGCCACGGTGCGAGACACCTAAAGCGGAAATCCGCACCACCGTATACAGTAGAAGCCCCAAAGTTGGAAACCCAATAGCCTCAATCCTCAAGAGTAATGTACAGGGAATCCCAGCACTATTTGGCCTTAATCCGGCTTCCATCTTGATGGGGATTACTGTAGAATTCTATGACAGGGTCTCCCTTAAAGCCTTAAAGGGTACTCTAGGATTCTATCATAAGGATTATTGTAGTATCTATTAACTTCGTTCCCCCTGCTTCACCAGTCGCCAGAGAGCCTCTGCGCTGTCATCGACGTCCTGTTTGTGAGGGGGGAGGGGCAGTTCCTTATGGTTGGCTTCTCGAAGATGAATTGTGGATACCCAGAGGCTCCGTAGTAGTTCCTTTTTGGGGTTCATATGCAGATTCCGATAAGGCAATCCCAAACCAAAAAGGAACTACTTTGGAGCCTCTGGGTAGTAGTAGTACATCCTGAACACGAAACCACATCGTCAACCCGCAGTCATTCACAGGACTGTCCTGCCGTTTGCACTTGAGCTCAAGAATCGCCCGGAAGATCCCTTTAGATCCGAAGCGCCAAGCCCTAAACCCGAACCCTGAACCGGATCGTAGGTAGGATCAGCTACAGTGAAAGAAGACTTAAACCACGGATTCCCAGGCCTTGAGCTTTCAGGTTTCGGCTTTAGTTTAGGGCTTTACGGTTTGGGGGTTTAAGGTTCCGGGGTTTAGGGTTTTAAGGTTCAGGGGTTTAAGGTTTTAGGGGATTTCAGGTTTAGGGGTTTAGGGTTTAGGGGATTTCCCAGGCTTAGGGGTTTAGGGTTTAGGAGATTTAAGGTTCAGGGTTTAGGGTTTAGGGCTTTAGGGCTGAAGGCCTCGCGATCCAGAGGCTCGCGTCGGTTGTGGGGTTTTGTTGGTTTCAACTTCGGGGTCTTGGGCTAGAATACAACGGCCTTGATAATTACAATAGGGCTCCTTTAAAGGGGTCTATAAGGGTTACTGTAAGGGAGCACTATGATATAGGGGCCTTGATAATTAGAATAGGGTTTTGGGCCCATTTATAGTATAACTATATAAAAAGAACCATAAGGAATAATGTTGGTAATTATTTAGGCCCCTAGCTGCACTTCAAACCCAACAGATCTTCTGAGCGCCCGCAAGATGAACCCCGCACCACAAACACTGCCCAAAGTCTATGTCTCACCCCTGAACCCTAATACCCCTCGAAGTTGCATACAGCTCCTTCTCGTCGGGAGGCGGCTGCAAGGTCTGCGAGAAGCTGACGAGACCACGGGTACCTTGTACTTCTTATAGCAATGTAGGAACCTTGTTAAGACACCCTGGCTCCCAAAAATTACTGCAGGATGCATATCAACAAGAACCCGAATAAAGACCCAACATCAACAAGAGCAAGAGGGCATTACCGGGGACTTAGTCTACACCCTTGCGGACTGATAGATGCCCTAAACCCTAAACCCCTAAACCCTAATTCTTTTAGAACGAGGAACTGAGCCTCGATTTCCGGAACACCTGTACCCAAACCCCCTACAACGTGAAACCTCGGATCGCAGCCTGAGCATGATTACAAACGTAACACAACTCCTAAAACTGACACAACAAACCCTAAGCCACTTTAAACAACGAAACCTAATACTTTATAAAGCCTAAACATGGGCCTAAACCCGATGCAGCCTCAACCTCATCAACCCTAAACTCCAAACCGCTACTAAACCCTAAACCCTAAACCATATATATAGAGAGAGAGAGAGAGAGAGAGAGAGAGAGAGAGAGAGAGAGAGAGAGAGAAACTCTGAACCCCAAACCGTCACTGAAGCCTCAACCTTCAACCCTCCCATGGCCGCAGTCCGGCCACCAGACCGCAAGAGATCACCCACCTGCGACAGGTTTACCCAAAGGGTCCTATGTACCGATATAGTAGAATGTAGGGTTTCCAGATTAGGAATTACTATTAGGAAGTATCCCCCATAACAGTACATAGGACCCTTTGGGTTAGGGTTTTGTTGCTTAGGGGTCTAATTTGGGTTTGGAAGAGTTGAACATTTCGTCCAGAGAGTCTATGTTCTATCCCGCAAACCCCCGTAAACCCCTGTACCCTGAATTCCCTGAGCTCTACAAGCCCCATGTAAACTCCTCACAGTTCCGCCAAACTCCTCACATTAGGCTGGGAATATCCCAAAGGCTTATAGCTTAAAGCCTTAGGGTTAAATTTAAATTCCCAAACTCTGTAGACTGTAGACCCAATAGACTCCTATTAACGCCCCCCCTCATAAACTCAAAAAACTAACCGAAGCTCCTACAACATACCCAAGCTTGTGAAGCCCTCATAGGTGACTGAAAACCAGCCAGCAAAGTCTAAACTCAACCATAAGCCCCCTAAGCCCGTTGAGCTCTGCGTCCGGTGGCGGCGGATCTCGTACTTGCTGCAGCTGCTTGCATTTCTGGCTACCTCTGTGGCTGCGCATTGCCTGTATCGTTTTGGCATGGTTACCGCAGTCTGGGCATTCAAGGCGTTGGGTCCTCCTCTCTGTCCTCCTCCGGTTCAAAAATTAATCAAACCAGCCAGCAAGCTGCAACAACACTTGTCAACGTGTGGCACGTGGGAGATTTTTCATTTTGCTCGGCTTTTTGGAAGGAGACCAGGAATCAGGTGCCAGTGTCTATGAGGGTTGAGTTGCCGGGGTTACGGGTTCAGGGTTGATTTGCCGGGAGAGATTTTACGGTCTAGGGAGTTTAGGGGTGAGGATCTACGAACCCAAGTACGGGACCCTAAACCCCTACAAAAGCCTGCAACCCACTAGAGCCCTTGCATCGTCCTTGTAGAACCCTTGCAAAGCCTCGTAGAAGCGTCGTTAGAGCCCTGGTTGAACCTGTGTGGTACCCATACATTACCTGTAGTCTTAGTGCTCGGTCATTATTTGGACCCTTCTTAAACATAGTTACTAAAACAACGTCCGGAATCTCTAAGCCTATTATTATGCCAAAAGCAAAAAACCTGAACCTCAACCATAAACCCTAAACCCCTAAGCCCTAAACCTCTAAACCCTAAACCCGAGAGGAAGTCTAGAAGGATCCCTTAGAGGAACAGCCCTTAAAGGATCCCTTAAAGGGGCCATTAACGGAGGGGGCTTTAGCGCTCCGAAGCGGATGCCTGATGCCTCCATCGATGGAAGGCTGGGGGCCCGAGCCTCGCAACGAGAGTTAGGATTAAGGGGACCCTTGGGGATAAAGACCCTCTCAACTTTTGGGGCTTAGGGTTTAGGGTGTCTTAAAAGACAGCCAGAAGTAGGGTTCAGAAGGGGTGTCTCAAACAAGACTACCTACTCGCAGCGAGAGTCGAGGACTTGGGCTTCCAGTTCCGAGACCCCCGGGAGGATCTAGAAACCCTATAGTAGATCCCGTAATTTGGGGCCCTATACTAACCCCCATTAAGGGATCTACTTCTTGGATCCTCCCAGGGGTCTGGGTTTCGGGTTCTAGCGTTCCCTTAGGGTTCCTTTTAGGGTTTCTTTAAGGGTTCCCTTGAGGGTACTCTAGGGCTTTAGGGTTTAGGGGGTTCGGGTTGGGGGTTTGGGATGTTTATGGTCGCTGGGTATTCGGCTGTAAGCTTTAGGGCTCCGCTGTATAATTGGGTGTAGGTTTGGGGTTCGATGTAGGGTCACTGTATGTCTGGGTGTAAGGTTAAGACGCCACATCCGCCATGATGTCGGCCGTGGCGTCCTTGAAGGTCCGTTTCTGGCGAAGGTCCATGGCCAGCCGCATGGCCATGGAATCCCAGTAAAAGACGATGGCGAGGAGGCTGGCGTTCTTGCCCCTCGCCCGGCAGTCCCACCAGGCGATGTACGCCTCGACGTCCTCCTCACTGCCGAGCTGGACGAGGATCCACGCCCATTTGACGGCTTCCAGCCCGTCGCAGATTGGGGTTCGGTTCTCGGCTTGAGGCCATCCAAACAACCCGTCAGCGTCAAGCTCCCAACCTCAAAAAAATGCAGCTTGCGGATTAGGGTTTGTTCAGCATCATGCAGAGGCATACAATGACTTCCACGACGTTGGAACTTATCAGTATACATGACTGGTTACATTATGGCGCAGCAGGTCGAACCAGTGATTGGACGGATTTGGCGGGCGGTGGGCAAGCATCATCAGTATCAGTTGAATTTCCTTTGTAAACTAGCCGTAGCATGCGCAGCAGTTCTACTTAGTGGATTTCGCGCGCGGCGTCACGAGAACTCCCATCCCGCCTATCGTCACTGCCGTGAATGCATGCCTTGATTGTATCCTTCTTAGAACTGCCAGACCCTAAACCCTACCAAAGCCCTAAACTCCTCATGTATTACTATAGGGGCCTTAATGATTACCTATACTAGTCTGGGTTTGGGGGTTCCTTGTTATAATAACAGTATACTGGGCCCCGAAACCCTACTATTCTATTTATTAAGGCCCCTATATCAAACCCCGCACCACTACCCTAAACTCCAAAACCCCTAACCCTAAACCCCTAACCCTAAACCCTTAACCCTTTTACCCTAAACCCTAAACACGCACCCCTACCCTAAACTCCAAAACTCCATGTGTTTCGATCTGGGGTCAGAGACCTGAAGCCTCTGCTGCACGAATACAGGGCTTCGGGTCGAGGCTTCAGGGTTTCGGGTTTAGGGTTTAGGGTTTAGGGGTTTAGGGTTTAGGGTTTAGGGTTTAGGGTTTCGGCTTAAGGGTGCAGGGTTTAGGCTTCGGGATGAGGGTTTAGGGCTTAGTTTTTTGGTATAGGCTTCAGGAGCCCCTCCAAGCGCTAGGCATGATTCGGAGAGGCAGCGCCGTGTCCTCGAGAAGGACAAATAGTGGAGTGTCAGCAGATTTGGGGCGATCCGAGAAGCTGCTCAACAAGCAAGGGTGTAGGCATTGGGGCTTAGCTTTGGTTTTGAGCATGGGGCGATCCGAGCTAGGGTGTAGGCATTGGGGCTTAGCTTTGGTTCTGAGATTTCGGGTTTGGGGCTGTAGCGCCATCTGACGGAGGTAGAGCAGCAGATCAGTAGATCTTTTTCACCTACCACCTTGGCCAGAATTAAGTAGCCATCATTGCATTACAAGGACATTCCACATAAAAATCTGAATAATTGGAAAACAAGGTGTTAGGACCGTGCACTCCTGGGTAGTAACCCTTTCACCTTCCCCGCCTCCCCCCGTCCTTAAATTAAAGGCCCGAACTATACTGGTTGTTCAGGGTCATAGGAAGCACGACGATCATATGAAGCTGCTGAGGTGCGGAATTGCACCAAAGGCACGCGAAAGGCAGGAAACCCATCGCCCCTACCGGTAAAGCTTCAACCCTTAAGCTCACAACACCAAAGATAAACCGAGCCCTGCAACGTCCGAAACTCTGTTCAATTAACATCACCCCGGCAAGCAAGCTCTTCACAGAAGTCTGAAGTCACAACACACCGAACTTGGGGTATAGGATTATACTCAACCCAGAGCTTTCAGACTCATTGTAGCTACTGACAGACTCCGTATCAACTATACGCAATAAATAATATACGCGATATGCACAGCAACCCGCACCTCAAGCCTTACTTGTCCAGTACCTTAAGGGAACTGCTGCTTATGTAGGGGTTGTGGCACCCAAAACTAGACAAGGCCTACCAACACGAGCATCAATCTGAATAGCTTAGCCCTGAACCCCGGCCGCGCCTCTAGACCTTTGAAAGCCTTTTCCCAAAGGGGCCAAGTATCATTATGGCATATACTTAGACCCGCAAAATACCCTGTAAGTATATACCATACTGATACTTGGACCCTTTGGGTCTAAACCTTGGGGTTTCAGCGCATCAGCTTTTGGGGTTTAAAGGAAGCCCGGCGATAGAAAGCCTGAATAGGTAATCACCCAGATTCTTACGACTCCTGGATATATGATCACAATACATTAAGACCCTATTCTAGTTGGTAAGGCTCCTGCATTCTTAACCTTCCTGATATATGAGTACAATACATTAGGGCCCGAATCTGATTGGCAAGGCTCTTAACATTAAGCCCGACAGCTCCGGGACCGGGGCGTTGTAGATGGTCAGGGCACTCTTGATGTGAAGCGTGCAGGTGCCCTCTTTGAGGTCGTGATCTGCAGGGCGAGGCAGGGTTTGGGCTGAGGACGTTTAGGGCCTCTACCCTAAGGCTCCAAAGTAGTTCATTTTTGGGGGATCATATTTAGAATCCTATAACCCCTGGGTAGAGCCTAGGAATTTAGGGTTGAGGGTTTAGGGTCCAAGGCTTAAGATTCATTGGGGGGGTTGGTGTCTCTTTCAGGGCTTAGGGGTTTCATCGAGCTTTCGGAGGGCATAGGGGTGTGGGGAAAGTGCTGGGTGGGAGTGTGTGTGTGTGTTTTGTGTGTGTGTGTGTTCGTGTGTTTGTGAAAAATTCCATTGTGTTCGAAGTATGGGCACAAACAGAGCTCAACCCTGAAGTCAGCACAACGATCTCTGAAGTCCCCCTTGTCCGGCAGCTTGAGCCAGACACGAAGTGGATGTCGAAGTAAGTGGCAGACTGACGGTACCAGGGAAGTGTGCCAGAGGTCTTGTCTCTTAACACGCTCCCTTGAAACAAAGTTACACGAAGTTGTTTCAACCAATTACAGTGAATGCATCGCTCACTCATTTCTGAAGTGAAGCATCACAGAGCATTCGGGATTAAGTGAAGTTGGAAATCCTCCAAACGATCACTGAAGTGGGTTATACCCACGGCTCCGGGAGGGAGGTACTCATCGGAGCGGTCTTTCACACTCAGTCTGCCTCTGGGAACACAAAGTCGTAGCATCGCCGTTTCCATCGTGGTGCTCCCGCAAAAGATCTTGCGGCTGCAGCTCACTGTCTTGCGTTCTGGCAAGTCGTGCAAGCTGTAGAAGCTGAAGAGCCCGCCCCCTCCGGCGCTCAAGAAATCAGCGCGAAGTGACTGTACATTCGAAGTCACTCAAAAATGCCATCTAGAATTATTGGGGAACGAAAGCGGGACCCCAATGTAGAGAATTGCCCAAGTGGGTTCAGGGTTGGGGTTTAGAGTGTTCCGGGGTGCAGGGCTCATGGGGGCCGAAGTCCTCAACCCTAAACCCTTAACCCCTAACCCCTAATCCCTAAATCTGAGAGGTTGCAGAAACAGCTCGCGGCTCACCCAAGAACCAAAAATGGCTCCCTTTTTGGCATTGGGTACTGTTATAAGGAACCTAGGACTACAAAAAGGGAATACGGGTACTACTGGGCATCCAAGACCTGAACCCTACGAAAAAAACACACCTTTGCTCTGGCTCCTTAATTATCATTTCAGTTATGTAAGCCCTAGGACAGTTTGCTTGATTCATCATTTGGGATTTGAAGCCCTGCCCCACCCATGCCCCCCCTTGACCCGAGACCTCAAATCCTAGAAGCCCTTAGATAGGGGGCCTTCATGATTAGAATAAGGTCATCGGGACAATAAGAGAATACTACAAACTTTTCCCCTCTAAGACTCAGCACACTCTCAAATCCTCAAGCCTCATCCCTAAACCCTGGAAGCCCTCAAGACCCTAAAGCCCTACATGCCCACTCCCCCAACCATAAACCCCTACGTAAACCCTAAACGCTCAAACCCTAAACCCTTAAACCCTTAAACCCTAGAACCCTCAACCTTAAGATTCTGAAGCCCCACCCTTGAAAGGTCCCTGCCTGGTTCCACGAAGATGGGGCAGCCTTCCCTGCCCATGAGCGGTTGGTTTTCGGCTTAAGGTTTAAGATTTCAGGCTTAAAAGAGGTTTAGGGTTTACCTGGACCCCCCCCCCCCCATAGCCTACCTTGTCAAGGACTTGTATAAGGAAGTCATAATCGGGAGCCCAAACAAAAGGTAGGTTCTTTAGGCACGCACTTGGCATGAGAGTCCCCAGCGGTTGAAGTTGAAAAACTACTAGGTTGGCCATTTAAAGCCTGAAGAATAAATTCGTAAATAGTATTTTCTTAAACCCAATAAGCGAAATATAAATATCCCAAATGCCTACCATCTCAGAATTCCTCAATCCTTTAGGGTTTAGAGGTTCGGTCGGGGGCTCTCTTACTCTAGGCTCCGAGCATACGACCAGCAGCTTTCGGATTTAGGGTTTAGGGTTTGGGGGCCAAGCCGCAAAGCCGTGAACCGTCTCACTAATGGCTTACACGCAGACACAAGCACCCAAAACCAGGGACCGTCTCAAAATACCCTGTAAGCCCCCAACACAAAAAAAACAAACCCTGAACCGTCTCAACACTGGGGCTCAGGGTTTAGGGCGTAGGGTTTAGCATCGAGGGTCCAGTCTGAGGAGTTTTAACTCTCGTCTTCCAGATTAGTAACGATGAGTAGGTAGTTCGGCATTCCACTATATGGGAGTTTCCGATAATTGGGGGTACCTCATTTTGGGGCCCTTATAATAAGGATCCTATTGTTTAGGCTACTATATTAGGGTCCCCTATTTTCGGATACCCCCATATAGTACTTGAGGGGGGCCAGCTACTCTGGCATTAAAGCCCGAAACACTGAGAACCGGAGACTGCGAAGCGTTCCTCCTAAAGCCTCCGGGTCCAAGGATTCTATGCATCAAAGGTACCGAGGAGTGACTCACATAAACCCTACCTCAACTCTAACACCTAAACCCTCAAATTCCAAAACCTGTACCCAAACCAGAGGCCAACTTGAATGGCATGGCTCCTCATCTGATAGGCCCTTCCAAGCACGTGGTCCAAGTCGATGGTCACGTACTCCTCTGCATCCATGTCCTGCTTGAGGGTTGGAGGTTCTCCCTGGTGTGGGAATATATGGGTAGTTCTCTAAATTAGGGTCCCTTTTAGGGTCCTTTTGATAAGGGCGCGGTAATTATATGCTGGGGACCTAAGGAAGGACAGAAGGACCCGAACACAGAGAACCACCCAGATATGCTTCGGCTCAAAACAGCCGAAAGAACCCTCTTTTGTTATGGTTTTCGGGCCCCAAAAGTATAAACTAGAAGACAATTGGCCCGAAAGCATCATCAGCGAAGAGTGTTGCGCTACGTCATCACCGAGTCAAAAGCACGGAGTCACAGAGTCGGAGTGTCACATACAGTCAAGAGTCGTACAAGTCATAGTTCATAGAGTCATCGAGAAATAGAGTCGAGTACATGTCAAGCACAAGTCATAGTTCAAAGAGTCATAGAGTCATATAGAGTCATAGAGTCACAGTGAGACAGAATCATATACAGTCATAGTGTTATAGAGTCATAACGTCAGAGTGAGAAAGAGTCAAAAGTAATGGAATCATCTATGTGCCACGCACTTGACTCGATGTAGTTCACTCTATGAACACTAATGTTCAGGTTTAGCGGGTTTAGGGTACAGTCCAACATGACGCAGAAGTCTTCCTTTCCTAGCTCCGGAACCTCACTATATAGACATCCCTGATTACTGTGGCTTCAACGTGACTCTATGACTCTATGCATGGTCACTTTATGTCGCAGCAGTAGTAGTAGTAGTAGTAGCAGTACCAGTACTAGTAATAGTGATAGTAGTGGTAGTCGTAGTAGTTGTAGTAGTAGTCGTCGTCGTAGTCGCAGTCGTAGTCGTAGTAGCAGTAGTAGTAGTAGTAGTTGTAGTTGTTGTTGTGGTACTTGTACTAGTAGTAGTAGTAGTAGTAGTAGCAGTAGCAGTAGTAGCAGTAGCAGTAGTAGTGGTAGTAGTAGTGGTAGTAGTAGTAGTAGTAGTAGCAGTAGAAGTAGTAGCAATAATAGTTGTAGCAGTGGTAGTGGTAGTAGTAGTACTACTACTAGTTCGAACACTCGACAACGCCAATCTCTGTGAAGGGTTGCAAGTTTCACCTCCATGCACATCAAAAATAATAACTTTACCTCGCGTTCGTGCGTTCGACCACGCCAATCCCTGTGAAGGGTTGCAAAATTCATCTCAATGCACATAAAAAAAAATGCAACTTTACCTCGCGTTCGTGCGTTCGACCAGGCCAATCCCTGTGAAGGGTTGCAAAATTCATCTCAATGCACATAAAAAATGCAACTTTACCTCGCGTTCGTGCCTTCGACCACGCCAATCCCTGTGAAGGGTTGCAAAATTCATCTCAATGCACATACAAAAATGCAACTTTACCTCGCGTTCGTGCGTTCGACCACGCCAATCCCTGTGAAGGGTTGCAAAATTCATCTCAATGCACATAAAAAAATGCAACTTTACCTCGCGTTCGTGCGTTCGACCATCGCCAATCCCTGTGAAGGGTTGCAAAATTCATCTCAATGCACATAAAAAAATGCAACTTTACTTAGCGTTCGTGCATTCGACCATGCCAATCCCTGTGAAAGGTTGCAAAATGCCAATCCCTGTGAATGGTTGCAAAATGCATGTCAATGCACCCAAACCCTGTGAAGGGTTGCGCGGCGCCCGCAAAATGTGTAACTTTACCTAGCGTTTTGGCGCTCGAGGTGGCCAATCCCTGGGAAGGGTTGCGCGGGACGCCTAAAATGTGTAACTTTACCTAGCGTTTGGGCGCTCGAAAGTCGCTCGAGGTGGCCAATCCCTGGAAGGGTTGCGCCGTGACCCCAAAATGTGTCACTTTACCTAGCGTTTGGGCGCTCGAGGTGGCCAATCCCTGGGAAGGGTTGCGCGGGAACCCTAAAATGTGTAACTTTACCTAGCGTTTGGGCGCTCGAGGTGGCCAATCCCTGTGAAGGGTTGCATTCCCGATGGACGACGACGGTGCCACCCCTGGCTTTAGAAGAGAGATTAGATACCGAGATGTTAGAGTCAAGAAAGAAAGAAAGTAAGTAAGTATACAGTCACGTAAGTTAGAGTCAAGTAAGTAAGTAGGTAAGTAAGTAAGTATACAGTCAAGTAAGTATAGAGTTCAAGTTCACAGTTCATAAGCAAAAGTTCATAAGTAAGTAAGTAATTATAGAGTCAAGTACGTAAGTATAAGTAAGTATAGAGTGCAAGTTCATAGTATCAAGTGTAGAGTCAAGTAAGGTATAGAGTCAAGTAAGTACGTCAGGTAAGGGATAAAGTCAAGTAAGTAAGTAAGTAAGTAAGTAGGCAAGTAAGTAAGTAAGTGAGTAAGTAAGTGAGCAAGTAAGTAAGTAAGTATTTCAGGTATAGCATCGTAGAGTCAAGTATCAAGTGTAGAGTCAAGTAAGGTATAGCGTCAAGTAAGTCGATTCTATGTCTGTCATCTATGTACTCATCTACCCGGCTCCGCACGGAAGAACCCTTCGCGATGCTTTCGGGAACTATAAACCCTTAAACTCGCAGCCTAAAACGGGCATAGGCTTAGACGCCACACTTGTCTAGCCCAATATCTTTTTAGGGTTTCCTGTAGGTCCAACGACCCACAACTGTCCGGATCTCGACGGCGAATCCTAGTCTAAACTTCAGGACCTAAATCCTCAGTCCCTGATAACGAGGCCCAGAGGATGAGTAGGATGGTCATGGCCAGGATCCCTAAACAAAGGGCTTAGGGTTTAGGGGTTTAGGGGTTTAGGGTTTAAGGGTTTAAGGATCCCTAAATGAAGGGCTTAGGGTTTAGGGGTTTAGGGTTTAAGGGTTTACGGATCCCTAAATGAAGGGCTTAGGGTTTAGGGGTTTAGGGTTTAAGGGTTTAAGGATCCCTAAATGAAGGGCCGGTAGCTTCAACAAGCCCTGGCCCCTACACCACCGAAGGAAATCGAATTACGAGCCCCACGGCTCCTGAAGCCAAAACCTCACATCTGCGAACTTCTCCTGGGAGGGACAGGGATTAACAGGTTCACTGAAGGGCTCTGCTTCTGCGAAAGATTAAAACGGAGTTTGTTGGGGGATTGTTGTTGTCGCCGGAGTTCTGAAAGGAACCAAAAAATGGGAGTGAGGTTTCCGTGAGGGACTTATCCGTGCTTGTAAACGGTAATATGAAGAGTGTTATGAGATTGGAACAAAGGTATTAAATGGTTTTACTTTGATTTGACAAGAAACGTAATACAAGCGCCCGTGCCATGATAGTTCATTCAACAGAGCACGCAAGGTTCGAAGAAGCTTACACGAAGATCCGATAGACTTGTTCATGACCTGCTTCCCAAGCCCTTAGGTTGCGGAGTTAAGCAGTTCACAAAGTTTCAAGCTCGCTCTTTACTGTCCCGGACCAACTTCACTAATTACATTGGACCATCGACTTGACTACCCAGCTGACGGGCTAAGTACCCGAGCCTCCAGAAAGGCTTCTAACAATAACTAAATATTAACTAATTATCGCAGATTTGTATGATTCCAAAAAGGCTATGCTACAGCTTTTGAAGTATTAGGACTCTGTCAAAGCAGATTTGGCACAGTTCCGGGTCCGGCTGAAGCCTCAACCCAAAACCAAACCACGTCGCCCTAAAAACCCAACACTCTCAGGACCTGAAAAACACAAATCCGATTTAGGTTTGGCTTTTTCAGCACCTTTTTCCGTCTGCTCCGATTTAGGGTTTATAGGGTTTAGGGCAATCCGATCAAACCCTAAACACTGAGCGCTAAACCCTCTGCCGAGGACCCGACGGCAAGTCGGAGTTCGTAGCTGCCGCTGCTGTGGCCAGGGTCCAAGTCGATGGACGAGCCTGGGATTGGCGGGTCGTTTAGGGTTTAGGGATTTTAGGGTTCATTTTTTGGGGTGGTTTAGGGTTTAGGGTTTGGGGTTTAAGGATTAGGGATGAGGGTTTAGGGTTTGGGATGGTTTGGGGTTTAAGGATTATAGGGTCCAAGCACCCAAATATTAAATAGTAGGGTTTTAGATCCCAAAATCCATACCCTGAATGGCTTTTGGACCTTGAAACCCTACTACTTGGGTAATTGGACGTTTAGGGCCTTAGAGGAAGGGCTTAGGATGTTACGCTATGGTGGATGCGGTTTATGCCCCAAACAGAGCACCAGGCCTACGCTTAAACTGTCCTGAAAAAAGGCGTTTGGATGTTCAGGCTGAACCATACGCTGCAACCCTGCTGTGTTTGCATCCCAAACCCTATAAGCCCACAGCCCCAAAGCTCAAAATCCACTCGCCCCAGCACCTGTGCTATGCAACCTTGTCGTTCGGGGAGATTCAGAGAAGAGGACACCAATTTTCTAGGGGCCTCAATAAGTTGAACAGGATTTTGGGGTGGGTGTGGACAGAAATCTGATGCGATCGAAGCTATAGACGACTTGTGCATCTCATCAATGCTCAGCTGAGCTTGGTGCGGGGTATACTAAAGCATGCTTAGGTTTTTAGGCCCCTGCAGCAACCTCACACAAGAAAGTATCCTTGATGAGGACCTAAAGAAGACTATAGTCCCAAGGACTAGGGCTCTGAATGGCACGAACTCAAGCAAGGCCGACGTTTGAGGGCACCCTTATTATAGAAACCAGAACAAGTCCTTTCTGTAACAATAGTACTCCATGCGCTTATCATGGTGAGCAATACCCTTATAGTACTGTGCTTGCCATTGGTTAGTCGGGAATGGAGGAATGGGGTACAATTATAACAGTTATTACTAATTACCCTTCTTCCATTCCGTACTAACCAAAGGTAAGTATGTAGACCCCTCAAAGAAACTTCTCTTGGGATGCAGGCGTGTCCGAAGCTGCCGCCACTTCACTGTGATCCTGACCTCTAGAGTGCTTGGGTTGGAAATGGGCAAACAACATTGCTCCTCCGGGGTTTCTAGAATGGTTTCTAAAATTAGGGTTTATCGGCCTTAGTCATCACAGTAAGGTTTGGGGTTGTATGAATATAATATTCAGGCTCCTATACTATCCGCATGGTTTGCTTCCCGGACTTTGTTTGCTTCTCGGGTTTTGGGTTGCCATCTTTCGGGTTTAGGGCCGCGGACGGCGTGAATTCAACGGCGGCTGTGGAGCACTTTTGGTTCTGTGGAGGGTTGAGCAGGAGTCCCGGAAAGTGCTTTGGAGATATTGAAGCTACTTCTACTACTACTACTGCTACTACTACTACTACTCCTACTCCTACTCCTACTCCCACTCCCACTCCCACTCCTACTCCTACTCCTACTCCTACTCCTACTCCTACTCCTACTCCTACTCCTATTCCTACTACTATTTCTACTCCTACTACTACTCCTACTACTACTCCTACTACTAGTACTAGTACTACTACTACTACTACTACTGCTACTACTACTACTACTACTACGACTAGTACTACAAGTACTTGTCCTAGTACTAGTCCTAGTACTAGTACTAGTACTAGTACTACTACTAGTACTACTACTACTACTACCACCACCACTACTACTACTACTACTACTAGTACTACGTCCCCAGAGCGGGGTCTAGCTTTGGCCTGCTCGTGGCTTTCCTACATGGCTTGCAGATACTTCCAGTCAGGGCAACGTTGCATAGAAGTCACAGTCAACGTTCAGTTAACGTTCAGTCAACGTTACAGTCAACGTTCCAGTTAACGTTGCGAAAATGCTGGCAGGGGCAGCATTTTGGAGTTTTCAAGCATAAAAAGCAAGAAATACATGTATTTCTTGCTTTTTATGCTTGAAAACTCCAAAATACTGCCCCTGCCAGCATTTTCGCAACGTTAACTGGAACGTTGACTGTAACGTTGACTGAACGTTAACTGAACGTTGACTGTACGTTAACTGCAAATTCCTACCAAATGTAGCAAAGTTGTGGAATTCTTGCGATTTTTGAATGCCCTGGCTGCTGCGCAAGATGCACTGTCAGGGCTGCATGGCTCCATTAGCGAAGACAGCGACATGGACGCTGCTATACGGCGATTCAGATTTTGCTGCAATGGCATTTCATGGCAAGCCACACAAGTACGTCACGCACCATGTCACGACCCTCTAGAAACGTCATATCACGAGCCTCTAGAAACGTCATTACTCGAGTCGGTGGATGGAGGAAATCTTGCACCACCTACACATCTTGTTTCGAATACACATCCAAGCAACAACCCCGCGCCCCCTTCTTAACATTGACGACAGACCTCTTGGGGCGGTGCAAGATTTATGTCATTGGAACGATTTTGTAAATCCCCGTGTTCATAGCAATGTTAAGAAGAGGGCGCGGGGTGAAGCTAACTAACATATCTTAAAAGTGGTGCAAGATTTCCTCCATCCACAGTAGTAGGTCGATTATAGCACGAGTTTGTTAAGAGTTTACGAATATTCCAAAGAAGCCCTATATACACTCACCAAGACTCTAATGTGAGTCCAACTCAAGAAACTCTCGCAGAACTCTTGTGCCTTTGTAGAATCGGGTATCAGGCCGTTACAAAATTCTCACAAACCGTTAAAGAACCCGCATAGAACCCAGCAGCCCCATTAACAACAACACCAGCATGCAGTTATGGCAACTTATCGAAAACCTAAAACACAAACCAACATCTTAAAGACCTAACCACCCTACAAACCCAAACCCAAATTTGACCCTATACCGCCTATACCCTAAAATATCCTAAACCCTAAACCCTTAAACCCTATAACCCTAAACCCTTAAACCATTAAACCTTCTCTAAGAGCCAAGCCCCAGTTCCATTTCGGAAGGCGAAGCGCCGTGCCGGCTGCAAGGGGCCCTCCCTCACCTGCCAAGAGGGATGGGTCAAGTGTGTGGGGTTTCAGGATTTAGGGGTTTAGGGTTTTTTTGGGTGGGTTTTGAAGGGGTTTTTAAGGCTGTTGGGATTTGGAGGGGCCTGTCGGGCTTTGGGGATTTTCAAGCTTTTTCGAAGTTTTAGGGCTCTCTCTCGGTTTGCGAGGGTGCTCAGGGCTTCTATAGGTTTTGGGTGCCCCGAGAAATTTTATAGTTTTTGGAATTTTAGTTTTTGTGTAATTCCAAGACTGCTCAAGCAGATTCTACAAGCCCAAAACGTCCTCCTCGGCTAACAAAGGCTTATCCAAACCGAAATCGTACTTCCTACGATAGAAACTCTACTTTCTACTTGTGGAGGTACTCAGGACCCTTTGGGAAGAGTTCGATAAGCGTTTAAAAAGATATCACCGCCTTTGTCGGAGTATGTCGGAGCATTGTTAGCACCTGCAACCCTAAATCCCAAACATTACCAATACAGGGGCAGGGGCCTTGGTAATTGCAGGATATCCTGGGATTCTTAGGATTCTTTTTAATATCATAGGGGTCATAGATCCTCCGTGGCTCTTGGCCCAGCAGCAATTCTTCACCTTGGGCCATGCTGCTGACCAAGTTCTGTGGCAGTCTTGGTCTCAGGGGCATGAGGCAGCAGTTGCGTACGGCTTCAGAATGTACGCTGGGCAATTGAAGCGCATCAGCAAAAGGACCAGTTCAGAGCTCAAATGAAGCCATTGCCCTCCACCGCTGTCCATCAGCAGCAGCAGCTGTTGTTGCAGGTCCGGTATGATCCGCCTTGTCGGCTCCAAGTAACCAGAATCGAGACGGGTGCGGCAGGGAATTTTGTAACGGGTTTAGGTAGTCAAAGCAAGGCTCATTCTTGCACGTAACTAAGAGTTTCCGGCGCTCCCTCCACAAGCATCCCGACCTCGCTTTACGATCCCGAAAAGAACTGCTGCAACATCTGAAGCAGGGAACCGCACAAACTTTCGGTATCACGGGAAGCCAGATCCCAGGGCTCGGCAAACCAGGGCAAAAAACCTAATGGGGTGATTTTCTGGCTGCGGGGGTGATCTGGTGCTCTGTCACACTGGAGCAACGAGCTCGCTATAGTTGAAGACAAGCATCCCAGTTACCCTCAAGTGGCGTACCCCCGCACATAGTCTGCGAGGCCCACAACAAGTTTCTTGTTTACGGATTTCCTCGACTGCACGCCATGACGAGAATCGAACTATATTTCAGAGCCCAAAGCATGCGCACCCCAGGTTGTCCGGGATCGGCATCGATTTGCTACTGACCCATTAGCGAAAACGGCTTCTAATGACGACAAACACGTGCGATCAACAATCACATGTCAAACAACTGACTACTCGAGAAAACTGCGATCCCCAATCTGGACGCTGTTGGTTACGATTTCCTGTTTCGCCCTCGTCACATGCTGGGCAAGGATTTCAACTAGATTGCTATGTCTTCGGGGGTTGGCTGCATTGAGGCTCCTTTGGAGGGTTACTAGTTGTATTGATTATCCATGGGTTTCCTATAGTTTCCATAACAGCGGAAGCTCTAATATAGAGGCCGTAACTAGTACAACAGGGTCTTGGGGTATGCTATACCATGATTACAATGAAGAGCCCCCCCAAAATAGTATTGGAAATTATTTAGGCCCCCTATAAATTATCCCGAACCCAAAACCCTAAACCCCAAGTCCTAAACCACAAAACCCTAAACCCCTGAACCCCCAAACCCTAAACCTCAAAACCCCAAACCACAAAACCCTGAACCCTAAACCCCAAAACCCTGAACCCTTTTCTCCTAAACCCGTAAACCCTAAAACCCCAAAACCCCAGACCCTTTATTCAGCCCTGAACTTTAAGCCCCGGGCAACAATAAGGATATGGATATCCCGTATACACCCCCTTATAATGAAGCCCAGTATGGTAGGGATGTCCCAGCAAAATGCTTATGTTATGTCCTTTTGGGGTACCTTATCGCCCCCCAAAATGGTATTGGAAACTATTTAAGCCGAACCCTAAACCCTAAACCCCAAATCCTCAACCCCAAAACCCTAATAATCCCGGGCCGGCCTCGTAGAGACCTTGCCGCACGGTGCGGAAGAAGTTCACAAGCACCTTGGAGGGATCCGGGCTCCGTGACGGGCATCTAGGAGGGTCCCGGGTGAAGGGTTTTGGGGTTTTGGGTTTTGAGTTTCGGGTTTGGGGTTTGGTTTGGGGTTTAGGGTTTTGGGTTCAAAGTTCAGGGTTTGGGGTTTAGGGTTGTGGGTTTAGGGTTCAGGGTTTAGGGTAGAGGGTTCATGATTCTAGGAATTGGGGTTTGGGGTCTAGGACGTGCGGTGAGGGGCTTGAAGGCTTCGGGCCGTAAATTGGTTTGTTGGTATTTCTGTTTCTTAATTAATGTTGCTCGTACTCAAAGCAATTTTAGGGCTAAGGGTCGGGACCAATGCAGCTCAAAGGCTGAAAGCTTTTCCTCAAGCTGATAAGGCTTTGAAGGCATAGAAAACTTTAGTGCTCGGGGCTCCGTGGCAGCGGGGTCAGGTTGGGTGCCGGGGCTGAAACCGCGCACCTTGAAAATCCAAACTTTATCCGTTGTAGGAAGTAGAAGCGAAGATCAGATGCTGTGTTGGCGCTTGCGTCAAAATCCAGCCTCATTCAGTCTTGCCTCTAGGAGACGTGGATCGGCTCTGGAAGAAAGCAGCCAATGAAAATAGTCTGCAAGGAATTCCTGGAAGGTTACAAGAATCTCTTCCATCAAAACGGGCAGCATCTCCGTCTCCGCAATGTGGCGTGGGAGCCAGCGGTTGGTAATGTCCTCCTGAGTGAAGACACCGCCCTCGGCTATGACGTCCAGCGCTGAGTCCGACATGTGCTCCTCTGGAATCATGTCCGTGTGGTTGAGCAGCCACTCGCGAATTGCGGGGGAGTAGAAGAGTTTTCGAAGGAATATATACAAGAACCCTATAGCGAAAGTTGTGGGGCTTGGTCTTTAAAGCATGAGCTGAGCTCAGATTTCAAGGTGCCTGTATTTAACCTAGGTTCGG